CTACCGTGTGTAGCCAGCAGCCAGCGTGAGTGGCCAGCAGCCGCAGTGAGCGGCCGTCCAGAAGCCGGCGACTGATCTGCCTTGCCCGGGAAGAGCACAATGATGGTGCCAACTTGGGCCAGTGAAGCAACGTCCTCCACAACTAGACTGAAGACCAAAACAACAGCAACTTGTCTGTTCCCCTTCCCCCAATTCCCCAGCGCTGTTCCCATCCCCCCCATTCCCCAATAAAAATATAAAAAAAAAATCCATCCTTCATACAATTGTCAGCGATGTCAACTCTAACCCTGTAAGGTCACAGATTAAAAGCCTTCAGTGGCTCCCTCTCCCCTACATGGCATTTGAGAACGATCGTGACTTGCCTCCTAGATACCCCTTCAGCCTCTTCCCTGGACATTCCCAGCTTCCCACTCTGTACTCAGCAATACTCAACTGTCTGAAGCATCCTGGACACTCCACCGTGCCTTTGTCCATGCTGTTCCCTTAGCTTGCCTTCCTCTGCCTCCAAATTTTTGTCCAAATAATTGCTGTGCAACTCTCAAGTTTCAGCTCAGTATCAGTGCTTCTAGAAAGTCTTCCCCAGCACTTTCCCTGTGCTTCTTTGGTGCACATACCTGTGGCACTTTCCATATTGACTTGAAATGATTTGTTCTGTATCTCTCTCTCTCTCCAATGGATTGTCATCTCCTGGAGGGCAGGGATGATATTTTATTCAGCTTTTTACCCTCAGAATATAGGATAACATCTGGCACACAGTAGGTATTCACTACACATTTGTGGAACTGAAATAAACCAAACAAATTAACCATTAATAATAAAACTTTGAGCAGTCTCACAGCCTGAAGCTGAGATTCTTATATAAAGCTAATGGCATTATAAAGTGTTTCTTCTCGAAAGCAATATAGCATCATGGAACAAAAACCATGAAAATGTTCATTCTCCTTCACCCGGTATTTTTCCCATTTGTGAATATTTCCCCAAAGAAATAACCCAAAGAGGGGAAATTTACACAGATGTTCCTGGCAACTCTAGTTATAACAGTGAAAAAAACTGGAAGCAGTCCAAGTGTCTAATAGGGAAATGACTAAGCAAGCAATAGGATTATTACATAGCTATTAAAAATGACAAGAGGTGAGGACTATGTCAACATAGAGAAGCGTGTATCTGCAGGAACGTTAAGTGGAAAAAAGACCACAGAGTGACATTTAAACACGAGTGGTTAAGGATGTATGTGTACATTAACAAAGTTTGTAGGCCAATTTGGAGAAAAGAAAATGGCTGGAGTTCAGTGTTCACTATGTCTTATTTTTCCTGTGCAATTCTATGAGTTTATGACAATAATAGTTGAGATATCATGCAATGTCGATATCCTGAAAGTCCTCTGCAGAGTAAGGTACCTACCAGATTGTATATTACAAGAGATAATTTCATGCCAAATTCGCATCAAAGTATTATGAAAATAATGACATTTCTTCAAGAGAACAAAATACTTTTCTTCAGCTTAATTCAACAAACAAGCAATTTTGAGAGCTTAACTATGTGCTAGAACACTTATAGGCTCATGAAACTTACAAAAACATGGGCAAAATCCTCAGATGGATATGTGTTATTACTTTAACTTACTTTTATTTTTTGAGTGACTATACATATAAGGACCTATTATAAAGGAAAGTCTGAAAGACCTTTGGCCTAAACTTCACATTCATAAATTGCCTTGATTTTATACTTTCGATGTTGTCTCCAAAAGGGGTTCTATGTATAATCACTGAGATATAGTAATAAAGATTAAAAGGAAAGTCATCATATAACTCTAAACTTGTGTCACATTGCCACTATATGACACATAATTTATTATTACATTATGAATTATATTTTATAAATCCTGTGACTATCCTGTCAATAGCAAAATATTGACATTGCAAGATATCATATTATATTGCAATGAAAAGAATTAAACCATAATTTTTTATATCTTGTTTTAGAATTTCTTCATTTCTTCATTTTCATCAAGAGCCTTAAATTGTGGACATGGCCCAGGCCTCTCTAGATCTCTAGGAGGCCCTCATCATAATTATCACTTCATCTTTAATATGTAATAATTCTAACTAGGGGCCCAAAATGAATGGGTTGTTAATAACTTAACTGGATGGACGCCTAACAAACTGCTGTCTACTAGCCCTGCTGTTCCTGCTGCTGTGTAACGAGTGGTCAGAAAATCCACAGCTTCTAGAGCAGTGGTTCCCAGCCCCGGCTGCAGGTCAGAATTACCTACATTTGCCCAGACACCACTCCAGACCTCCTGATTTGAATTCTCCAGGGCTGGAGTCTGGAGGCCCCTAATGCTTAAAAATGTTCTCTCTTACTCTCTTCTTTCTTGCACTGTATTTCCTGTGGATCCAGGACACAGAATTCAAGCTGGTCCTGTTAATGGCATCGGGTTTAGCTGCATCATGGATTTAACAGCTCTGAAGGCTAATCTGAGGGTCAGCCACCATTTTCAGTGTAGACTTTTTGAGGTGATGTGTTATAAGTGCCCCCAAAAACAGTTTAGAAAAGAAGTTTGAGGATGCAGTCCATAGATTTTTTTTTTTTGGGGGGGGGAT